AGGCTTTTGGAGAAATTTGAAAAGTGATGCACAGCACAGCCAGTGACTGCAGTCCCAAGGATATGGTAGAAAATCAAGAAATTTAAAAGCTGGAGAAACTTTGGATGTGACTATAAGTAGACTAATTTTACAAAGATATCGATGTAGACTAAGGTGTATAAATGAGGGTGGCTATAGTTATTCCAATAATATTATTGGGCGTCTTCCTGGGAATATGCAGATGTGGTTTAAAGATCATGATTTTTAAAAAGTCTCATTGAATTTTAGTCACATGATTAATTTTTTATCAAAACATCTATCAGCAAATTTGATTACCCTCCCTCCCTATTCATCTGAATCATCTCTAAACGACTTTCACAGTCAAAAACAAAAACACATTTTCCCTTGAAGGATGATCAGGTGCCAACGCGACTGTTCAGAAGAATATTTCAGAGGTCCCTCAATTATTTCAACCAGTGAAAGGTCCAAACACTCCCTGGGCTTGGGCAGCATCTGAGTGAAAAGGACACCACTAAAGGAATGGCAAATCTTCTACAAGGACTCAGACTTGCTTGGACGCAATCAGTATGTTGGGAAGAGAGTGGAGGTTTTTGTTGTTGGGGGATGAGGAGGGACAGGTTGAGGTTTTGAGGAGGGGTGCAGAGAGCAATAATCAAAATCTTTTATGGCCACAATATACAACACACTTTTCACTTTTTAGACACCCCTTTTCCATTGTCACGCCGGATTGGATTCAACTTGGAAAATTCTGGATATTTTTTAGTTAGTGAACTAGCTTCCGCTGTAACATAAAACTGTCTTTGCCAATCAGATAAAACGTTTGCAACAGGTTTAAATGCACATTACTCTCATGGAAGATGACCTCGCTGGTCCTAATTTTTACTAAATAGAACTCATTCCCTTTGAAAATAAGTACTCTAATCCATCTTTGTAAATAGAGGGACTACATATTTTGAGTTCCAACTTTTGAGACCGTTTTCTATGGGTATCTCATGTTTCTGCACACCTTGTGAACAGAGCCACACAGCTTTGGTTCCAGGCTTTCCATGGCTGCATAAGGAACAGCATTGGAAGACAGGGTGTCTCCCTCTTGGACAACTTTGCTTGCAGGCCCTTTAAAAGATTAGGTTTCCTGAGTTTGAAATTCCTAAGCCATGACACAAACACACTGCTTATGCAGCAACAGCCTGGGTTACTCCCTATCACCCCATGGAACTTGGGGGACAAGAGGAGCAGATGGGGACATGAAGCTCACATGGCCTGCGGTGCCTCTGACCTGAGTCTCCTGTCTTCTGCCGGCATCCACGACACTGCGGCAGGTTAACTAGTTGGATTGCACATTGGTAAAACTCTCACTCTGCACATTCTTGACAACAAACATACAAAATATTCAAATTTCGTAGAATAAAAGGATTTCTTTGTCCTACCTGACTTCCCACCTCTTTCAAGCAAACAATACTCTAATCCAGTTCTAGCACAATGAATAAATATGGATTGTCTTCTAGAGTTGCAAAAGGTCTTCATGTTTCCAGCCAGAAAACTGAGAAGTACATTTAATGTATTAGAGGATACATGTAGGAAAGAAAAAGGTTAGATAAGAATAACAAAGATTAAAGGGAAAGGAAGTAATCCTAGAAGGTGGAAATAGAAATGGATTACAAAGCATGTCTTTAATTTTGGTTTCTTAATCCCACAGACTAAACCATTCTATGCAGAAGAAAATTATAGCCCTATTGCCCTCTACTGGAATCAGGCTGGAAACTACAGGGCAATAGCTCGAAGTTGCTCTTTGTGGAATCTGCACACCTAGGTGGTATCCACTGCTGCCATTATCCAGATTCTAACCTCATTTGTCCAGATTTCTGAACCTCAGGCGTTCAGAATGAAGAGGAACACAGCCCCCTTTGCATACTCAGCCTGACAGGTTCATGCTGAACCACCTAGTGCTGAAGAGAGTGGACCACCTTCCCACACTCACCTTTAATTTGTAGCAGCCACTGATTGCGGGGACCACTAACAGAGCTGCAGCCTTTGCTGGAAGAACCCCTCGCACTTCTGCCCTCACCTGCCCCACTTTCATTCCATGCACAACAGTTGTTTAGAACCCTCCCCTCATCTATGAACCCCATCACCAAACCTACTCAGTTCCATCTCAAGAAGTATCATTTTGCCCCTGGGGACTACAGTAGGTCAGTGAATGCCATCCCCTCGACTCCCGCAGTCACAACTTGTGAACTCCAATGCTAAGTGTCAAAGGTCCAAATCTTCATTTTAGCTTAAATGTCACCCAATCGGTACCTCAAAGCAGCGTTTACAAATGTTTTGATCATGCACTGAAGTCAGAAAGAATATATAATGCACCAATAAACGATTTATTTATAAATTATAGAAGTGTACAATTGTACAATATATTATGTACATTATAAAACACACAAAAATAGAAATTTAAAAGGATGAGATTAAATACAAATAACCATTTTAACATTTTCCCAATGGACTGATCATCTGCACAGCCCTGGGATGTTCACACCCCGACCTGAAACCACACCTAAAGCATGCCAATGTTTGCTGTATTTGGATTTTTAGCTCAGGTTACAAGAAAATGTACAAGATCACAGCTTTTTTTTAAATTTTGCAAAATAGCCCTAGCATCAAGTTTAAATATGTGAAGATGTTTGATGTTAACTTCTTAAGACAATATATATTTGGACTAATCACTGCACAGCTGGTAAAATGTCACGTTATGTTCACCAATAAGCTGTTTCACTTTAAGGCAGACTATGACAGGGGAGTTCACAGAGTTCAATAAGAACATTTGGGGAGGAAAATGCTTTAAAGAAACACAAAAATAAAGAACGAGGATTTGCTTTTTCATTTCTTTTTTTTTAAGCTAACAAATAGCACCTAAAATAATAATCCCTCTGCCTACAGCGGAAAGACTTAAAAGAAAAAAAAATGGCGTTTCAAACAATGGCCATTAGCTAATGCGACAGATTAAAATGGATTGCCACACATCTGCCTGCCCTAGTACCAGTGAGTCCTTAAGAACATGAATGTTCTTTTATAGCCCCAGTTTCCAATCAGACCCAGGCACATAGAAACTCAGTAAATATGTAATGAATGATCAACTGCCCCTCCAAAAATCTGAATTACTTTTGAAATATGAAGTGTCGCCAAAGAACACTCCAGTGTCTGGATAAACACTGCGGTGAAGCATAATACGTTCAGAGCCTCAGTACATGCCACACCTCCTCCCCTTTCCCACATCAGTCCCCGGGCCTCTGCCTCCACCGACCACCCGGGGCCTGAGTTTCCCACAGTGCAGGGGACAGAGCAGGGGATAGGCTTGTCCCTCTCCAGCTGGGAGAAATACGACAGTATTGTTCTAGCAGACAACCTTATTCAATGTACTCCTTACGTTTTAAAAAATATTCACAAAAACTAAAAAAAAAAAAAAAAATTTTTTTTAAACGACATGAACATCTGACTTTGAGATTGATATGCACATAGAAAACAATGTGGGGCCTCAAGCTTTATAACACCAAAATTTACAACTGCTGGACTTTCCATTGTGGTCTCCTCATGGGAGAGTTACCTTCTAATAACACTTCTCCAATTTAAAGAGATAAAAATATTACACAACTTAAGTAACAATTTCATATATAACCTGTGTCGCTGTGTATACACACACTGAATGTTTTCATCTGTATGTTCATCTGTTCTGTGGACAAAATGTCACTATTTCTTGATGGGACCAAAACTGAAACTACACTCAAGAAGGGTTTTCACTTGATTAAATGCAAACCAGGGTAAGTTAGTTATTACATCTCGAACAAGAGAAAGAAGGGATGCGGAGTTCACAGACTTGCTGGGGATATGAGAACCATAAGCTGAAGGCTAGGTTTTTTCACTATTGCGGTATGGAGTTTACCTAAAGTATTCATTAGAGGAAAGCGTATTTATTTGGTTGGGAAGTACATATATACCACACAAAGGGTAAAGGAAAACAGACTGGTGGGTTGAGGTGATGCCGTTTTTTTAAGCACTGTGGTGAGTTATTGGGTTGTGAAATCATTCTTTCTAGTGTCAAACAGAAAAAAAGCCAGCTGTATGAATGAACTTAAAAAGGTTAAGACAAAACAGCCACTGGAATATACTTTTCTTGACAAGTATTGTTCAAGAAAACCCAGACATGTGCACACACACAGTTTTGTTTGCTCACTTACCTCGCCTTCACACCCACGTTTTCTCTAACCTCTCCTTTCACTCATCGCTACAGGCTGGCTCACTCCCTTCCACCACTTAGGTGACCAGCAGCTGCCTCCCCTGACACTGGAGCTTCCCAGTAAAACCTGGCTTGAAAATTAAACCCACCCTCTACTTGTAAAACGAAACAAATCCTCAGTGGCAGTCCTGCCTGCCAAGGAAAGGTCTCACGGCTTTAAAAAAGAAAAACAGGTGATGGAGGTTCCCATGAAAAGAACTACTTCGGACATATTATAGGAAATATTAACATCCTCAATTTAGAACCAAAAGAAACCATTCATGTTTCTGGTAATTTTCAAATTTTATTTCCAACTACCGCCATTAACAAAATACCAGTGGTAATTCTGCATGGGAAGTGGCCACCTTAAGTAAACAAGGTCACAAATTAGTATTCCAAAAGTGCTTTGGCCTATGGAGGTTTTCATAGGAAAGGATTATTACAATCAGTCCTGTATTACAGACTAATGCTTCCTCCGTATCTAGTAATAAAAATATTCATCTTACCTCAATGATTCATCATGTATACACTGCTACTCTTTATAAGCACTATCTTTCAGGGTTGTACTGTGTGAGTGGGAAATTCTCCGACTCATGGTTTTTTCTATAGTATACAGAAATAGCAGTCACTTCAGCAGTAATGTACAATTATTAAATTTTTAGTTGAAAAATAAAAGAATTATCCTATTACATCCTTTCTCTGGGAGTAAAAAGACACACACCACTACAAACATAAAATGAGTCAAACTTCTATTTTATTGACAGGAGTCCAAAATGAATACAAAAAAATGCCTCCTTTGCATGTTATATATTTTTCTCCTTAAAAGGCTTCTGATAGAGTCAGGTAGATTAAAAGCTAAGAATGTGTTTCGGCTTTCATAGTGAACCTTTTTAAAAAGGTTTAATAACATAAGTCACCAACATCAGAGAACATATGGTCCCACAATCATTTTTAGATCTATAGCTTATAAAAAGAATTAGATCTTGCACTGATCTGCTAAAATACAGGCTTAAAAATGTTTTAAGCCATTAAAAGCCATTTTTACAATCTGTCTAACTCTGGGCAATTAAGAAAGGAAAATCCCAAAATGTAGCCCTCTATATTATGTGGAATGTGAGAGAATGCCAACTTATGACCAAGATAGGTAAAAATAACGGGCTGAAAGCTATGAATGGAGCTGTTATAAATAGTCTTGTATCACTGCAAATGTCAGTAAGTGAATGATAGAGCTTATCAAGATTAAAATTTGAGATGTTACTTAACACATATTTGTGGTGTTTATCATACTTTGATGTTTGCTAAAAATAAAGCTGAACAAATAAAAGTTGCTCATTTATAGACTGTTTTTCATGTACCTTTACTTTTACTGGGACCATAAATTGATCAGATAATACATAGCCCACACTTCCAGACAGTTATAACAAACGGTTTATTATCATTTGCAGATGAAATTAATGCACCATCCCATACTTGAAAGGCTTTAACAAGCCACAAGCATTTTTCAGACTGTACCAAGGCACCAGCACTGCCCAGTTATATTATGCACCCATTTCTAGTAAAGAACACCTTCCTCAACATCAGTTCTACACTGTTTCTGGTTTATTATACACTTCCAAAACAGTGAAAATGTGAAAACATTGTGGTCCGTTTGTAGTACTGCTTAGTCATCATCTTCCTCCTCTTCTTCCTCTTCCTCAAAGCTATCTTCAAAGCCCTCGCTGTCTTCCTGGTCTTCATCCCCCTCTACTGCCGTGTCCCACTGTGGGTGATTTTCTGGCACAGGCTTAGCCTCATGAACTTCCAGCTATAAAGAAGAATTAAATGTAGGCATCAGAAGTTTGGGGATAATAATGGAAGAAATATCTGGTAAAGAAAAGGTTTTCTTTGGCCAAACCAATTATAAAGAAATAGATTTTGTGGTTATAATTCCAAATTTAAGACATTCATTTAGAACAGACATCTCAGAAAAAAAAAAGGTAAATCTACCTAACATGTAAATGTAGTTAAATTTCTAATACAGTTCAATATTTTGATTTTATGGAAACTATACTATTTATTCGGTGGCATGAATGATTAATAACTGTGATCCTTGAGCAAGAACACTTGAATGATATCTTAGTAAGTCGTCTGATGAGGGAAGAAAAACTCAAATGTGACTTTCAAAGAGGTATTTTGCAGCCTCCAGGCTCATGCAGTAGAATGCTATAGCCAACGTTAAGAAATACGGTGCCCTTGTGGGGAACAAGAGGCTCCTCTTTACTGGCTCCCTTCACTTTGGGACTCCAGTCCACAGTGAAACAATACTGCGGTACAATCTCTCTAATGCCAGAGTGTGTTTCATAAAAACCTCAAGTGAAATGGTAAACACTAATGGGAGTGTGCTTCAAATGACACCTACACAAAGAGTATACTCTAAAACGCTAAAGAACAAATTAGTTTCAGAAATTAATAAACACTCCAACAGAACCTGTGGGAAAACACATGCGCTTTTCTAACAGAACCCCTTTGGTGAGGCACTGTCACGTTACAGCATGTTATACAGCACAATTAAAAGGTATCACTTGAGTAATTTATATTCAAGGCTCTAAATCATTACACTACTTTAACTTAACAGCTCCAGTTTATTATTGAAAGAGTAGTCCATCAAGTGTACCATGTACAAAATACAAGATGACCTCTTTTGCTCTCTATGACTACTCCTTGTTGCAAAACTAGAAATGCTTCCCTAGCACATTAAGCACTTATTCAAACAGACAACCATATTTATTGAAGAGTCACTATTCTTACCTTTAAAGGTTTTATCTGATCCAAACCCATATAGGAGTCTGATCTCAGAAACACTGTATACTGATAATTTCCAGGCTTCCCTGGTGCAGGAAACTTAAGTTCTACCTAGAAGATAAAATCAGCATTTAAAACCTGTATCTTGAGGAGTGGAAGAAACAACAGCTCACTCCTAAAATTCCTAGACCAGGGTATTTAATAGCTAGGTCTTTACTCAGATGACACAGAAAACCCTAACAAATTTACAGACGTTCTAACACACACACACGCACACACACACACACGCACACACACACATATATGAAAGGAAATCAAATTGGATAGAACTGATTAGAGTTCATTTGTATCTCCACAATTTAAGAAAGCATATTTAAAGTAACTAAGTTCTGTGCTAACCATCACCTTGACAACTTGAAAAAATGAAAGTATGAAAATAAAATAAATGGGGTGGCCAGTTAGCTCAGGTGGTTAGAGCTCAGGCTCATAACACGAAGGTTGCCGGTTCAATTCCCACATGGGCCAAGAAGCTGTGCCCTCCACAACTAGACTGAAGGCAACTACTTGACTTGGAGCTGATGGGTTCTGGAAAAATGCCCTCCACAACTAGATTGAAACAACTACTTGACTTGGAGCAATGGGTCCTGGAAAAACACACTGTTCCCCAATAAAATTTCTAAAAACAAACAAAAAACTTATTAAAAAAATTAAAAAATAAAATAAATGAAATGTTGGAATTAATAGACTTTACTAGAAAGGCAATCATTCTCACCAAAATTTCTTATTTCTAAGATAAATGCTGTGAGATAATAAGAAAAAATACATATACATATACATATATCTGCTCCCAGTTCCTGACAGAGCTCCTGTAACTTCCTAAGTGATAAGAATACTAGGAGCATCTTTTGTTCTAATATTTGGTCTTTGACCCTGGTTCATAAATCTCTTGGAATTTCCTGGGTGATAGGAATGTGTTTTGTTCTAATGAACTAACTCCTAGTGGGTTCCTAGATGAGGGCTGGTCACCAGAAAGACATGCTTAGATGCCTGGAACGTTCAGTCCCACCCCCTATTCTCCGGAGAGGGGCTGGAAGTTGAGTTAATGATCTACATGCCTATGTAATGACGCCTCTATAAAAATTCCCAAAGTAAGGGGTTCAGGGGAGCTTCTGAGTTGGGAACATGTGAAGGTGATCGGAGAGTGGTGTGCTCAGAAAGGACACGAAAACTCTGCGCCCCTTCCAGCATACCTTTATCTATGGATCTCTTCCATGTGGATGTTCATATATATCCTCTATCATAGTCTTTTATAATAAACTGGTAAATGTGTTTTCCTGAGTTCTGTGAACCATTCTGGCAAATTATTGAACCCAAGGAGGGGGTCATGGGAACCCTGATTTATAGCCATTTGGTCAGAAGTACAGGTGACAACCAGGGACTTGTGACTGGCATCTGAAGTGGAGGAGTGGGGGCAGCAGTCCTGTGGGATCTGACGTTATCTCCAGGTAGACAGTGTCAGCACTGAATTAAACTGTAGGATACTAAACTGGTGTCACCGAGAATTATTTGGGGTGGGGAAAAACCCACATATCTGGTGTCAGAAGTGTTGTGAGGGTGACAGTAGTATGAGAGTAAAGGAGCAACATATAGGAAAATGGAGTTTTTCTTTTACAAATGCCCAATGCCTTAAAACAGCAAGAAAATATGTTATTTCCTATCAAATCATAAACTTCAAATACAAAGAAGTTTCAATTGTACTTGGGCAAAAGAAGAATAAATTCTTAAGATGACATTTGGGTGTTCTGGTGATCTGCCTCCAATCTCCAAAATCCAGATTTTGTAGGCAAGATTATTTATTAAAATATGCCGTTAAAACAAAATTTTAAAAAAATTATGGGAGAACCATTTTTAAAAAATTAATCACACACTTTGGCCTTTCTAACTGTAACATAAAACCTAAAATTCATAAAAGAAAAAAATTAGTCATACTCTTAAAAAAACTCCAATATAAATAAATGAATAAGCAAAAAAATATTTATATTTTCCCTTGGTAACAACCTTAATAGTAAAACAAACGGGACAAATATTTGCAACACATACCACAAAGGTTGGTTTCATAACATTTAAAAAAAAAATTCCAAAACCAACTTAAAAGACCAATAACCCAACAAAAATGAACAATCCTCACAAATAGATACAAGAAGAAATACAATTCAAACACAATGAATTTAAATATTCGGTTTCACTCGTAAGAGAAATAAAATTTAAACTACACTGAATACAACTAGCATAGTAAAAACTAATGCAGGCAAGAATCATCAAAATGAATGGGGGAAAAACTGTTGGAGAACAGGATATTCACATAGTGCCCAAATATCTCCCCACAAATGAGAGGGGGGAAAAAACCTTTTACAGGAGAGGAAAGCCTTAACTAAATGATCAACCATAGTATCACCAATCTGGGGTGATATAAACTGATATAATGTGTCCCTGATGTGATACAATAAGGTTACATCACCTATGTTGCATTTTTGTCAAAAATATTTAAGATGAATACAATCATGAGTAACCAATGAGACAAATTCAAATTAAGGTCTATTCTACAAAATACCTTGCCTGGACGCCTCAAAAATGTCAATGGCATGAAAAATTAAAAAAGAAAAAGGCCAAGGACGAGTTCTAAAGAGGAGTGGCAACCAAATGCAATATGTGATCCTTGACTGAATCCTGAATTTAAAAACAAAACAAAACAAAGACGCCGGCCAAGTGGTGCAATGGTTAAGAACTGGCTTGGGACGCCAGAGGGCCCCGGTTCAGATCCCACATATGAGGGCCGGTGACACTGCCCTCCACAAAAAAAACCAAACAAACAAACAAAAAAAACAAACAAACAAAGACTATACCAGTATTAGTGGAGTATTTGAGGAAAGTTGAATACAAACTGTATGTTAGACAATAATACCATATCAATGTTACACTTCCTGAATATAAAAAGTGTATTGTGCTGATGTAAAAGGCCCTTGTTCTTAGAAGATACAGGTTCAAGTATTGAGGGATATAATGTCATGATGTCTGCAGGTACCTACAGTGGGACAGAGGGGTGAAATACGCATGTGTGTGTGTGTGTATACGTTCTTGGTGTCTACACATACAGAAAAAGATATAAAACATAGATGGCAAAATGTTAATTGGTCAACGTAGATTAAGGGGGTCTTTGAGGGTTCATAATACTGTGCTTAGAACATGTTTATAGGTTTCAAAGTTTTTTAAATAAAAAATCAGAGAGAAAAGGCAATGCTGAGGTGTCAGTTTTCACCTTTCTGATTAGCAATGACATTCAAAATGTCTGAGACACTGAGAAGCAATGAGCATACTTAAACATTCATTCTCCCTATGGAGACATAAATACCTAGCTCTATGTATCAAAATTACAAATGTACAGAGCCTGATTCACTAATTCTACCTCTATGAACCTATCTGACAGATATGCTCACACATATACAAAATGACATGTGAGGTTATTCACTGAAGCAAAGGACAAGAAACAACTGGTAAGTCCATTAAATAGTGGAGTACTAAATAAATAAACAAACATCCACACAAAAGAATAACAAGCAACTACAAAAGCAAATGAGGAAGCTTTTACTGTACTAACATGGAACAAATCCCAAGTTACACCACTGAGAGAAAAAGGTAGGGTGCAGAATATGGTATATGGCACTTTTTGTGTAAAACTGGGGAAAATACATGAATGTATTTGCTTGTAATTTACATACAATATCACACGAAGAATAGAAATTCGAAAACATAGATGGCCTCCACAAAGGGGAATGGGTGAGTGAGAGACAGGGATGGAAGATGTTTCAATATGTACAGTTTTATGTCTTCTGAAATATTAACTAGGTGAATGCGTTATCTATTCAAAACTAAATAAAATTTAAATTAAAAAAATTAAATTGCTCTGTCAACGACATACCTGTAAGTTGTCTCTAACTCTAAGTGTCAAATAAACAAACTACTTCATACATTTATACTTGGTTATAAATGGGAAAAAAACTTTCTGGGTTAAAAATCAACTTCATAGAACTATCTCAAAATTTAAAAGCCTTGCTCTTGTCCAAGGCCAGGCCGACAGAACCTTCTTCCTAAAACGGTAACATAAGAAATCAAGAGCAAAAGTAAGAAACAGA